TAGAGAAAAAATGGAGGGGAAAAAAGAATGACTTCAAGAGTGTATCAGTTAAATGTGGAAGGAAAAGGGGGGGTAGGGGGCGGGCCCAGGGGAAAAGGGTTTGGAAAGAGGGGGGAAAGGAGGTTTTGTGGGGCGGGGGGGCCTTGGGCCTTTCCAGGGAGGTAAAAGCTTTTAGCGTGTTTGATAGGGGTGAATGGAGACAAAAGGTTTTTAATACTTGACGTGCTGTTGGAGTGTAGAAAAAAACATTTTTGGGAAGGGGGGCAGGGAACCGGCCGGCCCACTTTTTAGGCCTGGAGATGGGGAAATTTCAGTGTCTGCACTCTTTAAGGAGGGGGTTAATTTTTGCAGTTTAAAAAGTAGTGTAAAACACCCTTCTGGCAAGACAGTGATGGAGTGAAAGATGGGTTTAAAGTTTTTTTTTTTTCGGGCCACCCTGCCTTGGTGGGGGGTCGGCCCGGGGTATAATAAAAAAAAAAAATTTTCAACCCCCTTTTGGTCCGAACTGGCAGCCCCCACCATCCTTTTAAAACTGGTATGCCCGTACGGGTTTTTAAAATTTTCCCCAAAACCCAACCCTTTTCTGGCCTTAAATTCACTCACTTTACCACTATTTGCAGGGAATTTTCTTTACCAATTCGTTGTGCAACTGCCACCCCTTTTACAAATAATCGAAAAATCAAAAAGTATCTCCTGCCCAATTTTTTTCATTTAAACCACACCAAAAAAAATTCTCAACCCCTTGAGTACTGGTTTATCTCATTTTTTTCAGCATAGTTACCCCCCCTTTTCCCAACCCCAGCATCCTTGATTTTTTTTTTCTTGGCCACTATGGAAAATATGGTTGTGGAGGGTTTTTTTTTAATCCTGGCCAGTTCAGCCCGCACTTTTTGCCACTTTCCCAATTTTTCAAAAATTTTTTGTTTTTTTAAAAATTTAATCGATTTTCACCTTCTTTTCCCCAGGCCCTTTAAAAACTAGGAAACTTTCTTTTGGGGCCATGGTTAAACTTTTTTTAGTACAGTTTGGTTTCCCCCCATAGGAACTTAATCCTGCAAGAGGGTGGTCGTTTGCGAAATGTTCGCTATGCGAATTAATTTTCCCCCTAAGAAAAAATGGAAATAAAATTAAACCTTCCCAAAACACCCCAAAAAATTGGAAAAAAAAAATTTTTTTTTTCCCCAAAAAAAATTTAATTTTAGTTAAAACCCCCAAAAGAAAAGGGGATTGCCAAATTTCATGACACTTACTTTTTTTGAAGATTGGTGATGATTGAGGATGGGAAAGGGGGGGGAGAGAGAGTTTTAGTGTTTAGAAGGGGAATCCCCCTTCCCTTAGGGCTTTTGAGGTGCAAGTCCTTTTCCCCGGGGTTTCTTCCCTTCTTCTTTTAAAAGCCCCTAGGGCCAGTTCAGAGTCACTGGACCTCTGTCGCACAAAAATCTGTCCCCTAGAGCCTGGGACCCCTTCCTTTCCCATTTGTCAAAAAGGGCCTAACATTGTCATTGAAAAAAAGTCACCAGCCCCGGTTTTCAACAGCGTGTCAGGGGGGAAATTTTTAAACCATAAAGGTTTTCAGTTCAACCCCCTGTGCAAAACATTTTTTTTAATTTTTGAAGGAGGACAATGGATTTTCCCCAAATGGCAAAGGCTTTAGGGTTAGCCCCAAACCCTTTAAAAATTTTTTCTTTTAAATTTTCCCTACCAAAATTTTCACCCTTTTTAACCCCAAGGGGTTTGGGACTTAGAAGCTTTTTGGGGCCCATGGTCACTTATTTTCCAAAAAACGCACCCAAAACACTGTAATAATGGGAAAAATTCCGAGTGTATGTTGTGTTACCCCGGAGGCTGGCTGGTAAACAAAGGGACGCGTTCGGACGAAGGTCGCTGAGGGGGTTTTTGTCCACTATGCGGGGGCCCAAAATTTTTGGGGAACAAAGGTTCCTATGCGGGTTGTTCGCTATGCAGGGGTCCACTGGTTTTTCAAACACTTTAAAAAGAGTTGGGAAAAATTTTTTGAAAAATTTTGTAGGGGGCCCCGGGGGGGAACCTTTCCGCTCACTTTTAAACAATGCCAGGAAATGGGTGGGTAGGGAGGCCGCCCGGGGTCACACCGGCTTTCGCGTTCCCCCGGGCGAAATTACTATTTTGCGAGGGGCAAACCCATGGGTTAGCGAGCCCCTGTTTTTAAAGAAAATATCCCTATGATTTCCAAAAAACTAAGATTTCCCGATTACACGAAAAACGGGGGACCACTGAAATTTGGGGGGGATGTGGGTACCATCTCTTTTTTCCTTTTAAAAAAAACAACAGTGTTTTTTTTTTTTTCTCAAAAATTGGGCAGTGGGTATTGGACGTAAATACGTTTGCCCGTGAGGGGTTAAAGATATACAGGCGATTGATACTGTGTGATTTGTATTTGTTTTTTTTTATGCAAAAATTTCTGGAAAAGCAGATAATCTGAGCTTTTTCATGCAGAATAAACAAAAACTAAGTTTTTTCTTGAAAAGGGTTTCCCTAGGGTGCTCTATCTCTTAGCAAGTTGGGATTAATAAAGTTGGGATCTATATTCCCCTGCTCACACTCCAACACTCTGAGGCCCAAAAACTACCGTCCCATTCACTCCTATAAAACATGCTCACTATGCCGCAGGCAAAGCCCCTTTGCATAAAAAACCTGTTTACCCCTCCCCCCCCATCCTTTTCCCTAGAACGTCCCCTACTCCTACTCCCTTCCACTACGATTTTTAAAACTAAGTCATCCTTTTGTACTAGTAGTTGGGAGCAGCAACAAAACCCGGGATTCTACCATTCTGCCCAAAGGGAGTGTGAAACAAAACCGTAATTGTTTTTCGTGATGGAAGATTGTGGGGTTTTTTTTTTTTTTTTTTTTTCTAAACTTGGTATGAGGTATATTTTGCTACTTTTTGCTTGCACGAGATTTTCCTACACATCCATGTCTGCATATCAGTATAACAAAAGGATTATTGTGAGGAGGTGAAAGTGTTTAATGAGATGAAAGATTTTCTTTTTGGGATTTTTTTCTTTTTGGCCCTGTTTTGGTGGGAGATGGCAAACATGTTGGATAAAAAAAAAATCTGGGTTTTCTTCTATTTTCTTAACCCTTCAGGGTCAACAGGCCCTCTCCCAAACTTGTTCTCAGGGTTGAAAAATATTAAAAAAAAAAAAATTATTTTTTCTTATGAAATGATTGTTTTTTGTGAGTATTATAGGCCAAAACAAATTTTTTTGTGATCAATGCTTATGGAGATATGGAGGTGTGAAGTTGACAGAAATTGAGCCGCATACCTCAACATTGCCGACTGCCGGTCACCCGGAAATATTTTATTTTGTTTTTTTCTACTTTTTCTTTTATTTTTTAATATGTTATTTTTTCAAGCAACTCTTATGGCCTCTGAGACCAATATAAAGACTATTTAGTATATATTCATTCATTGTATACTACACAATAACAGCACAAACTTTGCTGTCATTATATTGTTTACAAAACATGTTTACACAAACCAGCAATAAAAAATGTTATTTATTATTATTTTTCTATCATATATATACACATATAGTCACTGGAGAGGTTCCTATAACTACAAGAGTTTCTGAAAGCTTGTAGTTGTGTGGGGGTAGACTTGTAAATATGCTGAGTCACCAGTGTGTCTTGTGTCACAATGATGCATCATACCAACACTCACTAACACTCATTGCCTTGCACAACACATCCCTTCCTCCCCACAAACCTACCTTCCTTTCTTTCCTTCCATCCTCTCATCTCTTCCTACCTACCTTCCCTCCTTCCTTCTTCCTTCCTTCCTTCCTCTCATCTCTTCCTACCTACCTTCCCTTCTTCCTCTCATCTCTTCTTACCTACCTACCTTCCCTCCTTCTTCCTTCCTTTTTTTCTTCATTCAAGTAATTTCATGGCCTGTGAGACCAATATAAGGTATACTGAATGTATATTCATTCGTTGTATGCTACACATTAACCGCACAGTCATTATATTGTTTACAAAACATGTTTACACAAACCAACAATAAAAAATGTTGTTTATTACTATTTTTCTATCACATATATACACATATAAAGTCACTGGACACTTCCCAGAACTGTTACAGCTTCTGTAAAGCTTGTAGTTGTTGTGTGGGGGTGGACTTGTAAATATGCTGAGTCACCAGCATAATTAGTGTCACAATGACAAATAGCACCATCACTCACCACCCTCACTGCCTGTCAACTTCCTCTTCACCCCACCAACCAACATGGAAATAAGTCACTGTCTGAATTTTTTGGGTTATCCTAGGTTAATGGTCTCCTTCCTTTCTTCCCTCCTTCCATCCTTCCTCTCATCTCTTCCTTCCTTCCTCTCTCTCTTCCTACCTTCCTTCCTTCCTTCAGGTTTCCTGGGCATTGCTTTTGGTCATAAACTCCTGAAAACTATGAAATTCATCTTCACTGACACTTCCATCTGTGTTTGAACTGTCACTTGGGAACAAGAGCCCCAATTAGCTGAGGAGTGAGGAGTTTCTTAGTGATAGACATGGTGAACAAGGTGTAATAAAATAGCTTTCTCACAATGCACCACTGGGTTCCGGATTTTTTTTGTACTGCGCACACTGACCATGGAGACCCATTCTCTCACATCTAGGATTACCAGCCTTTTCCTGCTTTATTTGAGGACACTAGAATTTATGCATACTAGTACGTCAATAACCCTGGCGCGTTAGACGTACTAGTACATCGGAAACCCTGAAAGGGTTAATAGTTCTTGTTCTTGTTTATTTTCTCTGATCTCCATTGGGAAGTGGAACAGAATTCTTCCTCTATAAGCCATGAGTGTCATAAGAAGCAACTAACATTCCGGGAGCAAAGGGTTAGTAACCCCTTTTGCCTAGGTGGGATATGGCCTGTTTGTTGAAAAAACTATTTACTTGCACATGTATGAGAATCCAAAAATTTCCTTGAATATAATAAATTTTGGTATACCTTTGACAGATTTCAACCACACAGCTACACTTCTCCTGATTGAATTAATCAGGGAAAGATTTCAAAAGTTTCTTATTATTCACACGAGACCAGCAGTTTACAAGGAAGTACAGGAGGAGATGTGTTTCCGTGGATTTTCCTTCTCTTTGGAAAAGATCCGAAAAAAGTGGAATGATCTCATAACATCATATCAGAAAATAAAGGAACGGAAGCAGAAAAATGATGACCTGTGTGAACAGGTATCTTGGGATTATTACCAGGTATTGTATAAAATTTGTGGGTATTTATAGTAAGTTTATCAGTCAGTATGATTATTTTTATGTATTCATTATTTTATACAAAATAGTTTACACAATTCATTATTGGGTATTATACAGGAGCTTAGATCATAGGCAGAGCCTATGAGCACTGTAATCTTCAACCTTCAAGATGCTGGGTAAATTTTCGAACTTATTTTGGGACAAAAATACTGTAGTGTCCGTGATACCGTAAAATATGGTACGTTATAAACATCCTTAAAAATGATAACGGGTACACTTGACTTATGCATAACCTAGGTAGGAACTGGAAGAATGGTTCATCAAGTGAATCTATTATTCAAGTAAAAACCTATGTTATAGCTTGAGGTGGGAACAAGGATAGTAATACATGTATTTGGCATCTTTTTCCCATTTTTTCATTCTTGATGAATGTTTAACAAAAAAATGTGAGCCAGGACAGTAGTATTTTGCATCTATTTCCCATTTTTTCATTCTTGATGAATGTTTACCAAAAAAAATGAGAGCTTACCACTCACACACACAATCTTGTATATACAAAAATTGAATTAGGCCAAGAAAAACTGAGAAAATGTTAAATACAAATTTTAGTTATAATTTATTTGGCCAGGTCTTCATTTTGGTTTGATTTGGTGAAAGACATTCAAATTGAACACCAACCATAGTATTTCATTCTAAATATGCTCTTGGGATTTCCCTTGCTCAAATCTGTTTTCTCATAGTTAAGTTTTTCTTATATTTGTCAATATAAATCAGTTTAAAGCAGTATTTAAAGAGATACTGTTAAAAATCAATTTGAGTACCCATTTTCTTTTGACTTTGCATGTGACAGTCAAATCAGAAATGAACCATATGATTTTTCTAATTAGGCTCATTGGATTTCCCCACACCCAAATCTCTCTTCTTTACTTCAATTTTCTTATGAATGTGGGTGAAAGGGCCATTTTAATGATATTTAAAGAGATAGGTTAAAAAAAGGGGTAAAATAATAATTTGCGGTTCAGTAACCTAAAACCCAAGAAAAAACAGTGCATTAGTGTTCGCAAAAACGCTAACAAATTCTTGGCTTCATATCTAAATATAAAAATAGAACCTCTTTGTTCTTCAACCTATATATCCTTGGTTGGGCCTCATTTAGACTTCCCTGCTCATTCTGGTCACCGTATTACAGAAGGAAATATAAATGCTCAGGAAAACGTACAAAGGAGGATGACAAACAGACCCCCAGTATCAGAAATCTTCCCTAGGGGATAGACTGGGGGCCCTAATCTGCACTCTCAAAAGGGGTAAAATTTAGGGGGGATTGATGAGATTTTCCCAGTAAAAGTGGGCCTTAGAAAAGGGATTGGGGTGTCACCGGGTTGTTTAATTATTTATAGATGGGGTTTAAGAGAAGTAAAGCGGGGTCGGAAAAGGGGTGGAGTTAAAAGAAAAAGAATCACACACAAAGGGGAGTTGTCACAGCTGCTTTTTGCTGATGACACGTGCTTTTGGGGATTCTGAAGAAAGTTGCAGAGATTGGTGGATAAATTTTGGTAGGGTGTGAAAAAGAAAAAATTTAAAAGGAAATACAGGAAAGAGTAAGGTTATGAGGAAACAAAAAGTTTAGGGATGAAAAATTTGGAATCAGTTTGGAGGGAGAGAGTAGGAGGAGGTGAACTATTCAGTATTTGGGGTGGACGTGTCGCGGATGGGTCTATGAAAGATGAGGTGAATCATAGAATTGATGAGGGAAAAAGAGTAAGGTGCACTTAGGAGTCTGTGGAGACAAAGAATTTTGTCCGGGAGGCAGAGGGGAATTATAGAGATTTTTAAAACCAACGCTCTTAATGGGTGGAAGCGTGGGTTAAAATGTTGCGCGGGGAGAGGCGGAGGCGGGAGATTATTCTGAGGGAAATGTGTGGTGGAATATAACAGAAATTCGTATTTTGGAAGTTAGGAGGAGGTCGGGATTACCAAAAAACTGTTTTTCAAGGGGAGGAAGGGTTGTTGAGGTGGTTAACATGTAAGAGAATGGATGAAACAAATGATTTCCCAAGAGGGTACGTCGTAGTGGAAGGAAGGGGGGGGGGGGGGGGTGGGCCGGGGAAAGGTTGGAGGGAGGGGTAAAGGAGTTTTGGTGCGGGGGGCTTGGACTTCCAGCAGGCATGCGTGAGCGTGTTTGATGGAGTGAATGGAGACAAAATTTTTTTTAATACTTGATGTGTTTTGGAGGTGAGCAGAGTAACATTTAAAAGGGGGTTCAGGGAAACCGGCAGGCCGGACTTGAGCCCTGGAGAGGAATACAGTGCCGCACTCTAAGGGGGGGTGTTAATGTTTCTTTTAAAAACTGTAGTGTAAAGCCCCCTTCGGGCAAACAGTGATGGAGGAATGATGGGAAAGTTTTCTTTTTCGGGGCCACCCTCCCCGGGAGAATGGCAGTGTGATAAAAAAAATAATAATAAAAATAATGATCGAGAGTTAAAGGGAAAAAACAGGAAAAAAAAAGGGGGATAAAAATATTTTTTATTTCCACGGGCCGATTCCCCCCCAAAGCAGGGGGGCCCAAAAAAGAAAAATTTTTCACCATCATTCCTCCATCACTTTCTTCCCAAAAGGGTGCTTTACAACAGTTTTAAACTGCAACTTTTAACACCCCTCCTTCAGAGTGCAGCACTTATTTCCCAACTCCGGGACTAAAGTCCGGGCTGCCTTTTTTCCCTAAAACCCCTTTCATAAATTTACTTTGCTCACACCCCAACAGCATAAGTATTAAAAACCATTTGCTCCATTCACCCCAATCAAACACGCTCACACTCCTGCTGGAAGTCCAACCCCCTTGCACAAAAAACCTCCTTTACCCCCCCCTCCAACCTTTCCTGGGCGACCCCTACCCCCCCTTTCCCTTCCATAAGTTGATAACTCTGAAGTTATTTTGTTTCACTCCATTCTTCCACATGTCCAACCACCAAAACCCCTCCCAGCCCTTGACAACAGTTTTTTTTGTAATCCCCCCCTCCTCCTAACTTCCAAAAATACGAAATTTCTGCATTTTATTCAACCACACATTGCTCTCAACATGACATCTCCACGCCCCACCTTCTCCCGCTGCAACATTATCACCCCTGCTTCACACCCTATAAGAGTGTTGGTAAAACTAACTCTCATACATTCCCCTCTTTGCCTCCAAAGGACAAAAATTCTTTTTCTCCACAGACCCTAAGTGCACCACCCCCTTTTCCCTCATCAATTTTATGATTTACCTCACCCTTTTATAGACCCATCCGTACACGTCCACCCCAAATATCTGAATACATTCCCTCCTCCATACTCTCTCCCTCCAAACTGATATCCAATCTTTCAACCTAATCTTTTTGTTATCCTATAACCTTACTTTTTCCTGTATTCACTTTTTAATTTTCTTCTTTTTTCAACCCTACCAAATTCATCCCCCAATCTCTGCAACTTCTCTTTAGAATCTCCCAAAGTACATGTCACAGCAAAAAAGCAACTGTGAAACTCCCACTTTATTGTGATTCTTTTTCTTTTTAATCCCGCCTCTTGCCAAACCCTCACATTTACTTCTTTACAACCCCCCTCTAAAATAATTAAACAACCATGGTGACATACACATCCTTTCTAAAGGGCCCACTTTTACTGGGAAATAATTTCCTCTTTTCCCACATATCTAACTTGAGCCCCACTATCCTCGTAAAAACTCTTCACTGCTTTCATAACCTACCTCCTCACCATACACCTGCAACTCTGCCACATTGCCCTCCTATTCACCCTGTCATACATCTTTTCCAAACCATAAAAGTCACAAAGACCTCTTTTTAGCCTTATCTAAATACGTTCACTTATATGTTTCACTGAAAACCTGGTCCCCACACCCCCTACCTTTCCTAAAGCCCCCTTGTTCATCTGCTTTCCCCATTTCCCTCTTACTCTTAAATTCTTTCAATAATAATCACCATACACTTGCCAGTATATCAACAGACTTATCCCCCGTAATTTTTGCACTCTCTTTTGTCCCCTTTTTTTTACAAAGGAACTATGCGCTCCTGCCAATCCCCAGGTCCTTACCCTCTTTCCCTACATTTATTAAAAAATTTCACCAACCCTCCAAAACTATATCCCCACCTGTTTTAACATTTCTATCTTTTTCCCATCAATCCCGGGTGCCTTACCCCCTTGAAATAGTGTGCTGAAAATTTCCAGCCAAGACAGGACTCGCAGCAATGGTTTCAAGTTTGGGAAAAATTCAGATTCAGGAAGGGTAAGAAAGCACTGGTTTTGGTAATAGAGTTGGGATAGTGGAACAATTTCCCCAGTACGTTATTGAGGCTAAAACGTTTTGTGTTTAACCCTTTTAGGGTCCGTCCCTAGATCTACGGTTCATGTTGAGTGTCCAAACCATAGCTCGCCAAAATTCTAGGCCGTCAAATTTTGCGCTTTCGTGCTTAATTTTTAGGGTCCGCGTGGTGGGTGTCGCCATAAAAAAAAAATCTAGGCGCCCGCATAGCTTTTTGGGAACGCCGGGTCGTTACCCTTGTTTACCATGCCTCGTCACAATCATCTCTCACTCCCCCCGGAAAAATTGGGGCTCTCCCTTCCATCTATAGTTCTACACGATGGGGTGGAATGAAAACGAAATTTATGATTTTATAGTTAGTGACCGAAAGGAAAGACCAGGAATTTATAATAGTGCGAAAAACCCCGACATCCTCAACCTTCTACTTTTGGTGTGGGGACTCGTGATCACGTCGGGTTGTACCTCGTGCAAGAGAAAACAATAATTTTTGCGTGCCAGGCCTTGACTTCATAAGATGATGATAGTGACTGGATTGAATTTTTATTGCGCTTACGACATTCGAGAGTGATAGTGGGAATCATATTCCATGAAGCGTTGGTTGTACGCCCCCACATGCCTCGGGTAGGTACCCTATGCTGTCCCCAGGGGAGGGAGTAACCCCGTGGCCCTACACCGGGTTTTGATGTATAGTGGGGATGATGTGGCACATTGGCATGGA